GGTTGGCACAGCCGTAAGAGGTTGCTGCTGCTGGCATCTAGTGGGAAGGGGCAGGGGGCTGCTAGATGCCCCACCAGCACAGGAATGCCATCTGACAAGGGACCGTCTAGTCCTGATGTAGCAGGGCCGGTGTGGAATGGAGGGCAGGGCCTGGACTTGTGCAGTTCTTCCCTCTCTCATTCCCTTAAGCCAGTGTGGTGTTGATGCTGAACTGAGAGTGAAGAGGGGAAAACACACTACAAGAATTTTAATCCTTTCAATCCATGCTTTTAGAGTGTATGTTTTGTTTGTTTGTTTGGAAGGCAACACAGCAGAGACAGAAAGACATCTTCTGTCTGTTGGCTGTCCTACATGCTGCGACAGCCAGGACTGGGCCACGTGCTGGGCAGGAGCCAGGCCTCCATCCACATCTCTCCCATGGGTGGCAGAGAGTCTAGTGTTCGAGGCACCATCTGCTTCCCAGGAAGCCAGATTGGCAGCCGAGCTGCCAGGAGTGACGCAGGCATTCTGATATAGGATGCTGGTGCCCCGAAAAGCCACCTGCCCCCCGCATCACAATGCTCCCCTCTGTTCTGTAGTTAAAAATGGCAGGCTGCACCATCTTCCTGCCTGGGACAGCCGAGATGTCTGTGAGTGCTTGCTGTGCGCCAGGCACTGGCCAAGCGCACTCTGCAAATGTTGCTGCTTTAATTTCCCCAGCCCACCCCAGAAGCATATGCCATTATCACCCCCACGTCCGGGGCAGGATGTCAGGGCCTAGAGCTGAGAGTGCCATGTGTCTGAGGTTCGGTCTTCCCCCAACACCGTTCTGCCCGCAACACTCCTGTAAGCCTCGGGGGCTGCCCGCACGCGCCATCACCCTCACCCTGCCATCGTCAGTGTGGGGGCCAGCAGCTGCTTGCACCACACAAGTCCCCTCTCTGCTCCAGGTTCCAGACCACCACAGTGTTGTCCGCGTTCCTGCCTTGGACTTTGCTTCTGGCCCCTCCTTCTTTGGGTACCTCTGCTTGCCTGAGTCAGACCTAGGCATGCTGCCCTGGCCCACAGGTCAGAGCCATATTTTCACGTAGGTTTTCGAGGCCCTAACGATTGGCTCATGTGCCTGCCTTGATCCTAACAGGTGGACCCAGGTAGGCCCATCTAGCTCTGACCCAGCTCGCCCCTCCCCTCGCACCAGGCCATGCTGTGCCAAGCCCTGCTCACCCTCTGCAGTCTGCAAAGGGAAATCTGGCTGCTTAGTGGCTTTCTGCCTGCTGTGCCCCAGTCCACAGTAGATGTGGATACATGGGTGGTGGGAGTTGAGTGTGTGCCTGTGTGGGAACGAAGCTGCAGAGATAGGCCTGTGTGCTTGCGCCCTCCCTTCCTCCTTCCCTCCCCTCCTGCCCAGGGGGCCAGCACTCGGCTAGAGCTCAGTCAGGGCAGTGCTAGTGATCAGGGTCAGGGGCCACAGTTGCACCTTCTCTCTCCCCAGCCCTTCTCACTGGGAGACTGCCCCTGGGGCCCCCCCCAGCTCCTTTGCTGAGCTGTCCCAGCCTCTCTGCCTCTGCATCGGGGAGCGATCTTCAGGAGAGATGCACATGTTGGTTCATCTTCCCTCTGGTCTGCAGCCAGCACCCCTAAACCCTGCCCCCCAGGGTGGGGTCATCCCTCATCCCTCTTCCCTTCTCTGTGCTGTGTGGGGACAGGTGTCCCAGGAGAACACTGAGAAGGGACAGGTCCTGCAGCCCCATGTGGAGCTGATTGCTTGCTATACCAGGGCTGGACTAGTAGGCACTGTGGTTATGGCTCCCAAAGCACCTCCTGTACTGCTGACTGTGAGTGTGGGCGGGGCTCTGGACATGGGGGCAGTGACCACTGGAGTGGGGCTCTGTACAATGACAGGGTCAATGGTAACTGGGAAGGGCATGTTGAGGCAGGTTGTATACAGTCACAGGGGTAGTGATCACTGGGGGGTCAGAGAGAGGGGGGCTCTGTGCATCCACAGGGCAACAAGTACTGGGAGCTGAGCAGGGCTCTACATCCACAGGGCAGTGAATGCTGGAGGCTGAGCCGGGCTCTGTATATCCACAGGGCAGTGGGTGCTGGGAGCTGAGCAGGGCTCTGTATATCCACAGGGCAGTGTGTGTTGGGAGCTGAGCAGGGCTCTACATCCACAGGGCAGTGAGTGCTAGAGGCTGAGCCGGGCTCTGTATCCACAGGGCAGTGGGTGCTGGGAGCTGAGCCGGGCTCTGTATATCCACAGGGCAGTGGGTGCTGGGAGCTGAGCAGGGCTCTGTATATCCACAGGGCAGTGTGTGTTGGGAGCTGAGCAGGGCTCTACATCCACAGGGCAGTGAGTGCTGGAGGCTGAGCAGGGCTCTGTATCCACAGGGCAGTGGGTGCTGGGAGCTGAGCAGGGCTCTGTATCCACAGGGCAGTGGGTGCTGGGAGCTGAGCAGGGCTCTGTATATCCACAGGGCAGTGTGTGTTGGGAGCTGAGCAGGGCTCTGTATATCCACAGGGCAGTGAGCACTGCTGAGGGCCCAAAGGGTTTCAGCCACAGTCACAGGTAAAAGCCCAGGAGGGATGGGAAGACAGGTGCCCATGTGGAGCCTGACCGGGGTCATGGGGGTCATGGCTCTCTGCTGTCCCTGTCATTTCTCCAGAGCAGCTCGGATGTCACCTGCTGCTCCACTGAGGCCCTTGAGAGTCTTCTTGTCCTTGTAAGACCATGCTCTGCTCAGTCATCTCCTGGCAGCATGCGAGGCCCCTTGCTGGCCTTTCCCTGTCTCTCTAGCACTGCCCTTCTATGGGGCCCAGGCCCTCCCTTGTCCTTTCTGCTGCTCTCTGCCCAACCCCCACTCTGCCCCTTTATTCTCAAAGGTGTCTGCATGGATTCTGCCCAGGTACCTGCCAGGCCCCTGCAGATACTCCTGTGGAGCTGGCACTCATGGTACAGCCACCCTCACTCTTGCTTCTGTGCCCCTAACGTGCCCAGGCCTTGGTGCTGTCACATCTGCCAGCCCCGTGCCCATCTCCTTGTGCTGTTTGTAACGGTCTGACTGGATTGGGGTTTGGGGTGGTGCTTGTGGCCATGGCTGCCTTGCTCACACCAGGCACACTGTAAGTACTGAGTCACCTGGTGGCTGACAGAGCCTGAGCTGTCCCTTCTCTGGACAGCAAACTCCTGCCCTCTGCAAGGACCTACTGCTCAGACTCTGGCAGCTGGTCCTGCGCTTCCCAGGGCATTGCCTAGCTGCGTGGCTTGATGTGTCCTGATGTGATGCTGTGTGGCTTTGATCACACCGTTTTTGTGTTGCTCTCTGTTTCCCTGGGGCACTGTGGTGTCCTCAGCCTCCCACTATCTCCTGGGAGGTGGGCTCAGCATGGCAGCCCCACTCCCAGAGACCCCCAGCCCCGGTCCCACTCAGGGCCATATCTCAGTCAGTCCCCTTTGCCTGGGGGGAGGCAGGGACTGGACAGTTTGACTCTTTGTTTCTTTGTTTCTTGTTAAGGGTTGTCTATGCAGAGTGAGATGTGTAGGGGAAGGAGCTGGCAAATGAGTGAGCTGTCTTTGCTGGTTCATTCCCGCAATGGCTGCTACAACCAGAGCTGGGCCAGGCTCAAACCAGGGTCCAGGAGCTCTCTGGATCGGCCAAGCAAGCGGCGGGAGCCCAAGCACTGGCCCGTTGTCAGGTGCCTTTGCAGGCCCATTAGCAGGGAACCCGAGCTGAAGTGCAGGAGCTGAGACTCGGCCCACCTGCCACAATACTCACTCTAAATTAACCATTTTATTGTTGAATGACTGTATTTGATAGGGTGACCAAGAGAGACAAGCAGGCACATTTCCCATGTGCTGATTCACTCAGCAACCTCATGGAAGGCTTGAGGCCGGGTCAACCTGCAGAGCCAGAGCTGAGTCTGAGACTCATGAGTGGCCAGCTGCCTGAGCCATCCCACTGCCTCCCCAGGAAGCTGGAGCTGGGAGCAGAGGAGGGGCTCCAACCCAGGTGTTCTGCCATGAGATACAGGTGTCGCAAGCAGGTCCACCCCACCTGGATCAGCTGTGCAGTTTGTGGGACCCAGGATTCAAGACAGTGACCCTGAATCCCTAGTCCTGCCCGTCCTCATGGTCCCTTCCCTCTGTGCTTCTGGACAGCAGGTATCGTTGGCTGTCATGGCGGCTAAAGGACTCAGAGGCACTCAGAAACCAGAGGGGCCTGCTTTTCATCCGTGTTGGAAGGACCACGGGGAGCTTGGGTGGAAGATTCCCCGGGGTTCCTTGGTATTTTGGTGCTTTGATACCTAGAGGAATGAAAGAACACTTGTTTTTTTTTCTCATCTCTCATTCCTTCCCGGCTAATGCGGTAGTGGAGCCATGGGAGGGAGTAGGCAGCCACTGGCTGGAGGGGCCCCAGACCGGAGGCCAACCCTGCATTTAGGGGAGGCCTTTGGCATCCTCTTCCTCTGAATAGCACCACAGTGGTGGAACTGCAGGAGCCAAGAGAAACCGGTGTGCCTTGATCCACGGGGGATACATGCTTGGGGCTGGGAGATAGGGCCGGTCTGGCAGGTGTGTGAACAGCTGTGTGTGCAGACCCAGCTACAGGTGCTCCCTGGGCATGCACAGGAGCCCTAAGCCACACTCGTCTCCTCCTCCTGGTAGGATGCATTGTCCTGTACAGGTGTGGGACTTGCCCAGCTCGTGCCCCAGCACGATGCATTGATTCATTCTGGTTCGTGATGTTTCTAGACTGGGTGACTAACCCAGGGGAGGGCGGGGGTGTGGCATGGAGCAGGCTGACCTGCTTTAGCCGGAAATGACAGGCTGGGGGAGCCACAGTCAGCACCTTGTCCGGGGGTGTCGGGGCAGGTCTTGTGGGCCCACCTGACACACAGGTATTTCTGGACAGTGGCAGAGCCTGTCCTCCCCATGAGCTCCCCGCCAGCTGTCCTGGGTCTCGCTTGCAGTGGCCAAGGCCCTCCTGGCTCCTCCCATGACCCGTGTTCTGTTTCCACAGGGCGGCACCTTCCTATTTCTCCCTGGCCACAGCCGTCTCCTCATAGTAGAGCACCTGTTGGCCTGAGTGAATTTCCAGGAGCAGGTAAGGACTTGGAGGAAGACTGTCTGGTGAGCCTGGAGCAGTGGGAGGTGGGGGGTGGGGGGTGGGGAAGGCCAGGCTGCAAGGGCTCAAGGGCTGACCCTGGCCCACTGCCTTGGGGACCATTGTGCGGGCTCTTGTGGGGAGTGTCGTAGGCACTGGTGGACTCTTCTGGGCCTGTGCAGACCCTGACTTAGTACTTGGTATTACAGGATCGCATGGTGTGGTACTTTTGTGCAATGCAAACATTGTGAAAATACACGCGTGTGTTCTGAAATGGGAGGCTTTACAGCCAGCGGTGTGTTTTCACAAGGCCTAAAACATCTGACAAGGGCTGCAGTTCAGGTCAGTGGCAGCCTGTGTGCCCGCCTTGCTGCCCAACCAGCCCAAACCGACTCCGTGTCCCCCAGTGCAAGGTTCCTCTGGCTGTAAATGGAGGGCACCCTGATTTATAGAGCTGTGAATGTTCAAACAACATTCACTATATGTTTATAAAAATAAGCAAGTGCTGATGGCTCTTTGGAGGTTGGGCACCATGTCTGTCAAGGGGAGGCCGGCTCTCACACTTCCCTGGGATGACCTGCGATTCCCAGCCTGCCAGCCCCTGGCTGTCCTGCCACATGGAGCACACAGCAGTCACACACCCTCCTGTACCACCTCCCAGTTCTTCTGACGTGTGGTCACCTTTTCAATGCCAGGGATCATGTGATGGTCGCGGTTCGGTCCCTGTGGAGGCTGATCAGGAACAGGACACTGGTGGTGCCCCTTACAGAGGAGAGGAGGCTTCTGGGGTCGCATATGTAGCGTGACAGGTCCCCCACAGTGCCCAGGGACCTCGGTCTCACTGTCCCTCCCTGACAGACAGGCTCAGCACTGGCACAGCAGCAGGGCCTGGTGTGTCCCCTCGTGGGTGCGTGTGCCGCGTGCGTGCGTGAAGCAGACAGGCATAGCTGCATGTCTCTGTGTTGTGTCTGCCGTGCTTGCTGTAGTTTTCTGGAGTGGCGCCCACTTTCCCTGTGTGGGACAGCTGAATGTCTCTCACCTAGAGTGTGACTCCCGACCTCTTGTCCCTCTCCTTGCCTGGTTGCCAGCTGCCTGCTATTCTTCCTGTCCCTTTTCCTTGTGGCTAGCAGCGAGGGTGGTTTGGCATGGCCAGGTTGGATGGGGATGGCTGGGGGGGCAGGGCCAGCAGGCGTGTTCAGCCCTGAGAACGGGCATCTCTGAGAGCTGCTGGTTGGGTTTGTGTCACTAGAGCACTTGTTGTGGGAGCCCAGTCCTCAGTCCCTGCACAGGAAATGGGAAGTGAAGTCAGTCTGATGCTCACTTGAAAACGTAATAGCACGTTTGCTTGGCCAGCAACGCCAAGCACACTTAGATAAACACTTGTTGCACGCAGCAGCCAAGACACCTATGCTGTTGGGACAGGCAGGGGCTTATTCTCTTTGGTGATTAATTTTCCTTGCATTGACATCCTTGCGGCCAGTGACGGTGGGATTATGCAAAACAGTCCCAACATTGCCTGTGCGTTGGGGCTGGTGGTGAGGGCTGGGGGCGTGTGCTCCTGGCCACCAGCTGTCCCAGATCCAGCCCTGCATATTCCCTTCCTGTCGGGCAGCAGGGCAAGGCCAGAGCTTGAGGCACCCCAGGTGACGAGAGTCTGAGTGAGCTACAGAAAGAAGCTGTCCCAGGGAAGCGTGCCCCATGGAAGTCACCTGGGCACAGGACCCCTCAGGCCCTATCACCAGCCAAGCCCAGAACTACAGCCAAAAGCCCCTAGTGATGGCAGCAGAGGATGGGAACCCGAGTGAGACTGACGGCAGGGACACTGGGATGTATGTCTTACGGAGCTGCGTCTTGGGACACAGAAGCCTGTGTAGGCTCATGCATAATATTCCTGTGACATCCTCCCAGACACCTACTGTGTACTAGGACCCCTGCATCCCAGGGCCACTGGGCAGACATGAGACTCCTCTCCTGGCTAGAGCCACGTTCACTCTGAGTGGGACCCCAGGACTGGGATGTGGTTTGGGCTAGGGGGCTGAGAATGAGAGCAGCCAGCTGGGACACCCCGCTCCCCCTGGGGGTCAGGAACGCTTCGGAGCCTGTGCCAACCAAAGAGGCTACTGTAGGGTGCTGTGTGTGTGGCGACACCTAGTGGCCAGTCCCTCGCATGCCGTATGTCTCACAGGAGGTCCTGATGTGGATTTCTGTGTGGGAGGCTGGTCCCCCCCCTTTGGAAACAAGCGCCCTTTTGCAAAAGCTGAGTGGGTTATGGGAAATGGGATTCAGCACCTCAGTCTCTTTTAACAGAGACGTGTTACCCCAAGCTGATATGGAGAGTGGGGTAGGGAGCTGAGACACAGGGCAGTCACGCTCTTCCCTCTGGCCGCCAGCACCCAGCCAGGACCCCGTGAGCAAGGTGAACTGAGCCTGGGTGCTCAGCAGGGTGGGGAGAGACACCAAGCAAACACAAGCCAGCTCCCGTGGGACCTGTGCAGGAAGTCAGGACGAGGCAGTGAGGGCTGTGACAGGGGACTGCATCTTCAAGCCAGAATACAGGACGAGAGGAAAGCAGTTGTGGCCCAGGGAGGCCCCAGTGTGAAGGCTGTCAGGGACGGGAGCTTACGGGGACATTCTAGAAACGCCCCAGGGCCCAGGAAGGCGAGGGAAGAGCGGCAGGTGAGGAGGGCGCGACTGGCTTGGGCCGTGTGGTTTGGATTCTCAGGTGGCTTTCAGTAGGCGCTGATGTCATCTGCCCTGTTTTCTTGGAAGTGGTTCTGGCTGCTGGGCAAGGAAGGGGTGTGGAGAGGGCATGAGGACCTGGATCGTGGCTTTCCCAGCCAGAGCACCCATCCTCCAAACAGATCCAGAGCCCACCTGCAGGGTCTGCGGCACCGGAGAAGGGGAAGGGAGTGTGAACGTGGGTGGAGAGGAAGTGAGGACCCATCGTGTGCCCGAGTGCCTGTCCTGGTGCTGACCACTCTTCCCAGTGTGCAGTTGTTCCCTCGGCCCTTTCTTGAGATGCTGTAAGGGAAGCAGACAGCAGAGGAATGGACCAGTTTGGGGTTCTGGGAGTGGGCAGGAAGGTTCTGGAAGGAGCCCTGTACTGTAGCTGGCATACTGCTGCAGCATTTGGCCCCAGCTGGCCAGGGTTTGAGCCTCTGGTATGGCCTTCAAGGCAGAGCTCCATTAGCTTTGGGGCCCGAGCCGTGGACAAAGCCCTCAGAGAGCTGCCATCCAGACCTCCCTAGAGCTGAGAGCCTCTCTGCTTGGGATTGCCCAAGGGTCCAGGACTTGCTGGTTCCTGAGTGTGGACCTGGAGCGGAGTGTCCTTGGCCTGCCAGCCCAGTTCTTGGTTCTCCAAGCACAGCTCCTTGGCACTAGGACCGCCGAGGCTCCACCCCCCCAGCTGCCGTGTTATTTCTGACTCATCCAGGAGTGATAGCGTGTAACCCAAGCCCCTCCACGCCTGCTGCCTCTCCCCTGGTGCCTCCCGGGCTTCTCTCCCAGGGCTTGGTGCAGCTCAGGTCCCCACGACACCTGGGTACAGCTGCTGGTCTTCTTAGCTGCTGGCAGAAGCCACCCTTCCACAGGTGGGCTGGGTGTTTGGGGGCAGGGGTGTTTGCCCAGGGAGTGATCTTGGTGTCTGGGGGCTGGGCACTGACCAGCTGCCCCATTTCACATTGCTCTTGCTTACTCTGGATCCCCAGGACTTGTTGGACTGGCACACATCTCTGGCTCACTGCAGGGGCAGATCCAGCTGTCCTTAGGGTACCTGCTGTGGGTTGGCGCTGCTCTGTGTGGCCGAGCCAGGGCCCTGGGTGGGGAGAGTCGGGGACACCTGCAGGTGTCTGCCCACTAGCCCTGCCATGCTGCCTCGCACCCTGCAGGAGTTCCCAGAGCTGGGCCAGGGGGATGAACCGCGAGGGTGCTCCCGGGAAGAGTCCGGAGGAGGTGTACATTCAGCAGAAGGTGCGGGTGCTGCTCATGCTGAGGAAGATGGGATCCAACGTGAGTGCTTGGGGAGTGGGGGGCTGCCTGAGGGCGTGGGGGGCAGGTCTGGCCTTTGGCGTTGTGGCTGTTCAGACCCCAGACACAGATCCTTCCGTGTGTAGGTCTGGGGCTGCTACCATGGTGTCTTTCCACCCCTACTGTGTTGGGCCAAGACCTTCCTTTCCTCCTGTTTGGCTTCCCAGGACCTCCCCCTGAGGGTGCTGGGTGGGTGGCAGACATGTGACTGGGGGATGTGTTCCAGGAGAAGGAGGGATTCAGTCTCCCTGGGAAGGGCCTGTGCTCCCAGCACCCAGCACAAGCTGAGATTCTCGTCTCAGATTCCATCTGAGTGACAAGGCCTGTGGGCCCCTTGGGCCGCGTTCCAGGCCTGGGAGGGGGCTGGGCTTGCTCTGGAGCCCAGGGGTCAGAGCTCAGGAATTAGGCCTGGGCACAGAGGAGGCCCCACGGAGATGGAGCAGGTGCCACCGCCCTCACCCTTGGCTCTCCCGCCCTGCAGCTGACGGCCAGCGAGGAAGAGTTCCTGCGCACCTACGCGGGCGTGGTCCACAGCCAGCTCAGCCAGCTGCCGCAGCACTCCATCGACCAGGGTGAGTCGAGGCCCTGGGCCGCTGCCATTCTCCAGAGTCACATCTGGTTCCTTTTGAGAGCTGGGCGGATGACCCAAGGACTGGGAGCAGACAAGGAGGGGCCACAGCTCTGCCCCTTCGCCCTCAGTGCCGCCTGACTGGACCTGTCTGCAGGATGCCCCCAAGGAACCTCTGGGGACCCGCAGAATCGCAGGCTCTGGGAGCAGAACTGCCCTGCTGGGCTACCTCTGGGTTTGGGCACAGGCTACGTGGTGGCTTCTGTGGTCGGGCCTCTGGCCAGAAGGGATGCCTTGAGCCCCTTCCTGTGCCTGGGGAATTCTGACTTGTTTAGTGACCCCAGCCAGTCTTTGTGGCACTGGCACTGTGCCCAGGCCTCTTAACCTCTCACGCATCCTCCTTGACTGTGGGTAGCACTGTCTGTATTGCTCCACTCAGCAGACCAGGAAGCAGCAGTTGCTGTGTTGGTTTTGTCTCTGGCTGCTGGTGCCCTGTAAGCCAAACCCACAGCCTGGATGCCGGCTGGCTGCTTGCGCCCGGCCTTGGTGCTGAGATCCAGCGTCCGGAAGACTCTTCCTGACGTGGGGGCAGCATCATGAACAGTGCCCACACACGGCCATCCTCCTCATGTTTTGTTAGCTTCATTGGCTGTGTGATATTGCAGCCTGTGGCAGGTCGGGACAGGAGTGGCTTCCGGGAGCAGGCTGCCGATGGGTGTGCTCTGTGCTGTGGGTCTGGTACGTGGGGTGGCTGTCCTTGTTCCCCCATGTGACAAGGGCTCTGCCCTGATGCAGGGACAAGTCCCAGACACTTGCGTTTTGTTGGCGGCCCGGGAACACAGCGTACTCATGTGTGCTGCCCACCCCACTGCACCGCCTCGGCAGCCTGTTGCATGCAGAGCCGCCCCCACCCTTCCAGGGCCCCTGGCACGAGGGCTTTTGCCCAGTGGGGATTGCCTCGGCCTACCTGTGGGTCTTGCTGGCTCCAGAGGCAGGTCACACCTCTAGGATTGAGGCCTCACCTTCCTCCAGGTGAGGTGGCTGACCCGAGTTTAGGCTGGGGCAGCAGCAATGCCTCTGATGGGATGCCCTGATGGAGAGACTTGAGTCCAAGTCAGAATTCTGTGTCACATGGAAGCCAGAAGAGAGCCCCAACAAGCAAGTTTGTGTAAAACATTTTCTCACGTCAAATATGCTTTTGTATAAGGGAAGGTTAAAATATTTTTCTTAAAGATTTATTTATGTATTTATTTGAAACAGAGGCAGATGTACAGAGAGAAGGAGAAACAGAGAAAAAGATCTTCCATCCGCTGGTTCACTCCCAAGTGGGCTGGCGGCTAGAGCTGAGCCAATGCCAGGAGCTTCTTCCAGATCTCCCACGCAGGTGCAGGGTCCCAAGGCTTTGGGCCGTCCTCGACTGCTTTCCCAGGCCACAAGCAGGGAGCTGGATGGGAAGTGGAGCGTCCAGTATGTGAAACAGCACCCATATGGGATCCTGGTGCATGCAAGGCGAGGACTTTGGCTGTTAGGCTATTGCTCCAGGATGGGCCATCTCCATTCCAGGTGCATAGTGATAAAGCTGGATCGGAAGGGGAGTAGCTAGGGCTCCAGTCCATGCTCCGATAAGGGATGGCGGCATTTTAGGGAGAGGCTTAAGCCACTGAGGCACAAATCAGCCACAGCAGCCTGCATTTTCGCCCATTCCGTGGGGACAAAGGGATCTGTATTAAAATTCTAACCTCCCCTCTTTCCCTGTCAGCATCAATCAGAGGCACAGGTGCTGCCCAGCTGCAGCTGCGCATGCCTGGGTGGTTGCACAGCACAGGGACTCTGAGAGCCCCGAAGGCCTGGAGCCTGGCATGAGTGCTTCATCCCACTAGGTGGCGCTGTCTCAACAAATTTTCCAGACTGCTCCACCCTAGGCTTGCCTGGGACCCAGGAAATGCCCAACTCTGCTGGCCCCCACAGGACAGGACACTGTAGGTCCTGCGGTCTGGCCACCACCCTAGGGCTGCACATATTTCACCTGATCGCCAGGCCAGTCCAGTCTCTCACCTCCTCCCTGAGAGAGCTGTGCCCCAGTGAGCCCAGACACATAGCCTTGGCTCAGAACCCTCTGGGCCAACACTTCACTGGCCATGCCTCACTCCACAGCTCCAGCCTCGGCACTGGCTCCCTTAGCCCTGGCATTGTCCTTCCCTTTGCGGTGTATCTGTTCAGACCGGGGAAGCACCAAGTGCCTAATGCCTGGAGCCCAGCCCGATCCTTCCGCAGGGACCCAGTTGACCGTCAGGTGTTTTTCCTGCCTGAGGGCCCCAGCTCTGCCATCCTCCTGTGTGAGTCTCCATCTTGGAGTCCATAGGGATTTTCTTTTTTTTTTTTTTTGAAAGATTAATTACTTGAAAGGCAGAGTGACGGAGATCTTCAATCTGCTGATCCACTCCCTCCGTTGACCACAACAGCCAAGTTTGGGCAAAGCCAAAACCAAAAGCCAGGAACTCCATCCTGGTCTCGTGGGTCACCGGGGCCCAAGTGCTTGGACCATCATCCATTGCCTTCGCAGGCACCCTGCAGGGAGTTGGACTGCAAGCAGAGCAGCTAGAATTTGAACCTGTGCTCCAAAGTGAGATGCTGGCGTTTCAAGCTGCAGCTTAACCCATTGTACTCAATGCTAACTTCTGTTTTTATGTTTACTTAGCACATGCTAATTACGTGTTACAGTGAGGCCTTCAGCACATGTGTGTGTCATGTGTTACAGTCAGATCAGGGCAGTAGCAGATTGGTATCTCCACTGTTTATCGTTTCTTGCTGCGAGCCGTTTGGAAATGATTGCGGTAATGCTTGTGCTCACTCCACAGCCCCATCCCTGAGTGGCATCTCAACTTGCCCCACGGGGTCCACCATCCTCCACGGCCAGAGGGACTCACGGGGACATTAACACATTTTCCCCCACTGAACATTTTTCAGAGGCTTCCTGCTGCCCTTTAGGTAAAATCCAGCCCCCTTGGCAGGACGAACAAGAAGCCCCGGCCCTCCCTATGCCAGGACCTCACTGCAAACAGCTACTAGGAAGAGGTTCTCACTGCACCCTCACGCCCAGTGCCTTGGGGCCTGACCCAGCCCTGATGCCCCACTCCCTCCCTTGCTTCCTGGTCTCTGGGCTAGGTTCGAGATTGCTTCCTTCTGTTCTTGTGTTTGGGTGCCACCAGGCTTCAGTGCATGCTCGGACACAGATGTAAATGTATCAGGCTCTGGCAAAGAGACAGCAAGTTCTCAGAGTATGTCATCCCCTGGTACCCAGGGTGGCCAGGGGACCTGCCAGGCAGGCAGGGCTCAGCTGTGGACCAGAGGCCGCCGATGGTTCTCTGGGAGAGGCGGGCAGACACTGCCTTCAGCCCCCTCTCATCTGCTCTGCTCTTCCCACAGAACAAGGGTTGATTGGTTCTCCAGGTGGTGAGAAAGCCATGAGCACTGAAGGCAGCCACAAGTGCCCAGGGTTCCATAGACAGGACAGGCATCTGGGTCCCCAGCAGCCTTTTGCAGGTCCCACCGAGCTGGGACCATACCATACCAACGTCCTAATACCTGTGGTAACTTTCAGTTGTTTTACTGCCATCTTAAACAATTACGCAATAGGCAGCCACACATCTGGACTGCAGGTTATTACCCAGTCCCTTCCCACGGGGCTGCTCTTCCTCATTGTACTGTTGACTGTGGCCATGGCAAACACTCGTTAAACACCTCGTACTGTGCCCTTGCCAGGTGACCCATGAGACTTACCCCAGGGAACCTACAGCAGAGCCCTGGCAGGGAGAGGCTGGCTTGCACCCCACTTTCAAGATGAGAATACATTCCTGGTCGGTCATGGAGGTCAAGGTGGAGGCACAGCAGGTTAAGCTGTTGCTGGAAGCAGCCACATCCAGCACGAGGGCTCCAGTCCAGATCCCGGCTGGTCCGCTTCCAGACCAGCTTCCCACTGGGAGGCAGCAGACCAGGGTCCACTTGCTGCAGTCCCATTGCTCACATGGGAGGTAGCTGGAGCTCACGGCTCCTGGCTGCAGCCTGTCCAGCCCTGGCTGTCGCAGGCTTTGGGGAGTGAACCAGCCCAGCAGGTGAAGAGCTCCCCCTCTGTCACTCAGCCTTTCAAATAAATCAGTCCTTTCAAAGAAGTTGAGGCCACATAGCCAGTCTCCCTGGGTCCAGGGGTGACTCATGGCACAGCCTCTTAACTGAGAACAGACATGACCTAGGCATCTTTCGAGGTGCTGCAGGAGGAGGCAAGACAGCCAGGGGGCAGCTTTCCTGCCCTCTTTCCTGGGCTCCTCCCCTGCAGGCACCATTGATAGTGTTCTCAAGGGCACCACTTCCAGGCCCACAGTTAGCAAAGGCCACCCTCCCGCGAGTTACCCAGGCTGTCCTGACGCAGAGCCCAGGGTGTCTCCAGCTGCCCCTGGGTTGGAAGCTCCCCAGTGCAGGCAGGGTTCCTTTGTCAAGGAGCCTCTGCTGGCCTCCCCACCTCCAAGGAGATGCTCTGGGTCGCCCCTGCTGGGTGCTGGCTGGCACTCCAGCTCCCCAGTCCTGTCCCGGCCTCAAAGTGATCGCACTGGCCCTGAGAGACTTTTTAGGGGCTCTGCTGACCTCTGCCCTCAGGGCCAAGGCTGCTTCCTGAGAGCGTAAGGTGGTGCTGCTGTGCCGGGGCCTCACTGAGAGCCTTCTTAGGATGACTGAAGCCCTGGCTCCCAGGCCATTGGCCCTGGCTCTCCTTGGCCCGGCAGTGGACGGGTGAGGCCGTGAGCTCCGCTTCCACAGCCCAGGTGGGAAGTATGCCCCAGAATCGTTTCTAACCACTCCTGGCCTCTGCTCTTTGCTTGAACCCCTTCCAGGAGTGCTTCCTGCAGCTCCCTGCTGCCCGGGGAGACCATGATCCCTGACTTTTGGAGTCTGTGCCCATCTTTCCTTCCTTGGAGCTCTCACCACCTTATGTGGGGATCTTGGGACAGGGTC